GGGGGTGGGGGTGGTGAGCGGTCCCTGGAACTCTGAGGAGAAGAAAATTGAGAGCAACATACACATCAAGAGGGCGTGGAAACCACTCACACTAGAACCCAAACTAACCATCCGGCCACCGAGTCCACACTGATGCAGAGTAGCCCTACAGGACAAGGCCAGCTGCCCCTGGGACTGGGACTCTTTGAAAGGGAGGTCAAAGGGAACCCCCAGCACGAGGAAGACCCCATTGGAAGGTGTACTGTACTCATGACCTTCCTTGCTTTGCTTTCTCTGATCTGGGCCTTTGCACAAGCCCTGTGCTCCACCCATGTCCCTCGCACTTCAGTCTCTGCTGAGGAGCCCTGGTGGCGCAGTGGTTAGGCATTGGGCTGCAGACTGGAAGGTCAGGAGTGAGAATGAACTTTGATGGTAATATGTTTTTAATTTATTTTATTTTGTTTTATTGAGTGTTAGTCTCTGCTATGAGCTAAGGAAGTGAGTGAGTTTGGCTAAAGATTCAGACAACCTGGATTTGAATCCAGCCCAGATGGCTCTTGATTCAGAAAGCATTCCATGGCCCTTTGGAATCTGGGGGTCCTTGTACATAGCCTGCTGTAAGCACTTATCCCATTGGCTGTCATTGTTTCTATCGGAGGGAAGTTCCAGGTGAGCAGGGAAACCACCAGCCCGCCGTATCCAAACACATAGCAGGTGCTCAACAAATAGTTGTCGAAGTAAAAAGAAAGTGCTCTGGCAGCCATCAGGTGATGGTCCTCCTCATAGCATCGGTCTCCAGAACTTGCAAAGAGCCACTCGCCCACGTGCGGAGCTCCTTTAACTGATATTTGAGCAAGTCATCTTTGGGGGAAGATGAGAATGGGTGATTCTGATTTGCTGCGAGCATCATACGTTGCATGGATCTGATTCCATGCTTCTTAAGTCAAAAGACTCCATTGTTTTAAAGCGCTGCAACAATTCCATGCCAAGGGTAGTATCCACTTGGAGGTCATGAAGGCTGAGCCACCGGGGAAGGTGGTTCTAGAAAAATGGAGGGAGAGGGTGGGGCAGGAAAGGGTGCCACAGAATTCAAACGGAATTCAGTTGCAAAGGTTCATTCTCACTGCTTCCCAAACTAGAATCCAGGGCTTCTCAAGCTCAGCACAATCAACATTTCAAGTCAGGTAATTGTTGGATGTCGGTGGTCCTGCACATTGTAGGGTACTTAGCAACCCCCTTGACGTCTAACTTCTAGCTGCCTCCCCTAAACTGTGACAACCAAAAAAGGTCTCCAGACATTTCACATGTCCTTAAGGGCCTAAGTACCCCAAACTCACTGCCATCGAGTCAATGCTGACTCAGTTACCCTATAGGACAGGGTAGTGCTGCTCTTGTGAGTTTCTGAGACAGTAACTGTTTATGGGAGTAGAAAATGCTATTTTTCACTAGCTTAGCAAGCAGCTGGTGGTTTTGAACTGCTGACCCTGAGAGGTGCTGCCGAACTTGTAACCCACTACAACACCAGGTCTCCACAGGGTCTAAATAGCACTCACTTTCCCCCAACCTCTGGGACCCTACAATGACTGTGCCGGGTGAGATAGACCTGGATTTTAGCTCCACCCGAGTCGCTGCGTGACCTTGGGCGAGTTGCCTCACTTCTTTAAACCCTCGGCTTCTGATGAAATGGCAGGCCATGCAAGTGCCTGTATCTCATAGAACTATCACGGTGATGAAATGTGATCATGCGTAGAACGTACTTAGCACAGCCCTGGGCCCACAGGGAGTACCAATAAATAGTCACTGAAACACTAATTGCTAGAAGTGGTTTTATTAAGCAATAAGAATATCACCCAATTAGTAATAAATATATTAAGGAATAATCATGGTAATTATCCTTATGGTTATTTAAAACCTTGCAGCCTGAGTCATTTTATAAAGTAATCTACTAAAACTTGCTTCAAGCCAGGGCTAGGGCTTTTCCCAGGTGGAGGAGGTGCTGGGATGCCCATCTTGCTATCCCACTGGCCAATCTACTCCTCCTTTTCCTTCTTCTTCATTTCCCCTCCTCCTCTTCCCTCTGCCCCCTTCTCCTCCTCGTTGTCTCCCCCCCGCCGCTCGCTCTCTCAATGTTTGACTGTAAATTGGGTGAAGGTTTCCAGGGCAGAGCATCAGTTTCACATTCAACAACTCAAGCACATTTTGTTCCAGCTCATTTGTTGCAAGCCCCTCCCTCTCGCTCCCGGTGTTTCCTGTTTCCATTCCTCCTTCTTTGAAGGCCAGCCCTTCTGAACCAGGCCCTTTGATGTGAAGTGGTGGGCAGTTCCAAGATGTTCATGCCTCCCTAGTGTCATGGTTTCCTTGGTCTATTGTTTGGTTGGAAATTGAGCCATGTGGGGTGAGTTCAGTTCCAGATGTGAAGGGTCACTAAAGGGCACTGTCTTGGGGGATCCACCGAGTCTTGATGTGGCTTGGCAATCTGGTCTCTGAAGAGTTTGAATTCTGTTCCACGTTTTTCTCTTACTCTATCCGGGACCTTACTCTAGGTCATCCCTCTCAGGGCCTCCTACTCTGTCTCATGTGAGCCTGGTAGTAATCCTGTAAGCGGCACAAAGGAGTCACCAACAGCGAGTAGTGTCCATTCTACAGGGGTGAAAAGGGCAAGACCCAAACCATTGATGTCTCCTAGCCTAAGGGGCCAGCAGCTCACCCAGGCCTGGAACCCTGGATCGTTAGCACGGTCTGTTCTTGATCCAATCTCGGGCAGTCACTAACCCTATCGTTTTGCCGTTTCCAGCATTTCACATACTTGGAATCCTATAATGTCTAGTAACCTTTGCAGACTGACTTCTACCCCTTAGAAAGCCTGGTTTAGTTTCCTCCGTATTTTTGTGTGGCTTTTACTACATTTCTCCCCCCCGCCCCCCATCACTGACTCATAGTCCATTGTCTGGGTGTACTACAGCTGGTTTGGGCATTCCCTGGTTGAAGGATGTCTTGGGTTGCTTCCAATGTCTGGCCATATTGGTTGCTGCTGTTAGTAGCCATCCAGAGGACTCCAACTTCCGGCAACCCTAGGTGTGTCAGCGCAGAACTGAGCTCCCTGGAACTTGCGAGGCTGTGAGCTTTGGGAGCAGATCACCAGGCCTGTCTTCTGAGTGGGTTCCACCTGCTAACCTTTCAGGAGAAAATGGACACCTGACTGTTTGAAGGACTCCCACAACCAACCGTGCATGAGGGTCCTGCATTTTGTGGGTGGTTATACACGTTCAACTCCTCCGGGTAGATAACCAGAGGCACAACTGCTGGATCCTCTGGGAAGACTTGTTTAGATTTGGAACAAACTGCTGAAAGTTCTTCCACAAGGCCTGCACCATTGGACAGTCCCATGAGCATGCGTGGGCATTCCTGTTGCTGCACATTTGCTCGTCACCACCATTTGGTGGTGTTGGTGTTTGGACTTTTCATGGTGCTGAGCCTGGTGGCAAAGGGGTTTACACTTTGAGCTACTAACCAAAAGGTCAGCAGTTTGAAACCACTAGCTGCTCTGTGGGAGAAACATGAGGCTTTTTCAGTCCCGTAAAGAGTTATAGGGGGAAACCCACAGGGCAGTTGTACCCTGCCCTATAGAGTTGCCACAAGTCAGAATTGACCTGATGGCAGCGGGTTTTTGAGTGGGTTAAGTGTCGGACTGCCAGCGGAAAGGTCAGCGGTTCAAAACCACCACCAAGGGAAAGGTTGAGGCTTCAGAAATGCTATGTCAGGCTGCTGTGAACCGGAAGGGACTCAATGGCAGTGGGTTGGGTCTGGTTCAATGAGTGCTGATTCCTGAGTAAAACTACAGAGAGTGTGTCTGAAGCTCCACGGAGCAGAGGACCTCCAGGGAGGTGTGTGAAAGAAGACACGCCCCACATGTTTGGGGTCTTTTGTTTTTAACTTGTTGAGCCCCAGTTTCCCAATTAGAGCGTGAAGAGAATAATAAATACTATCAGAAAGTTGTTGCAAGGGTTTTCATCAACTACTCTGGTGGCGTGTAGTAGATTGCTCACCCATAGGGTGCTGTTGTTAACTGTGGTGCTAACCACCACCGAAATATGAGGTTTTCTACTCCTTAAAAATGGACAGGGCCAGTGCTACCGTGTCTTGCAGCGTGGCTGCGGGTCGTGAGGCTCCACTCGGTGCACAATAAACTGTAGCTACTATTAGTATTATCTACTTGAATTGTATTGTCGAAGAAGTGACAGTGTAAGCCCCTGAGTGTCAAGACCATCTCTGCTCTGAGTGGAGTTAGTCTACGACTAATGGGGGCGCAGTGGTTACGCATTGCGCTGCTAACTACAAGGTCAGCAGTTCGAAACACCAGCGGCTTACCGTCTCAGGAAACTCCCTGTCCCAGAGGGTCGCTGGGAGCCTGCCTCTGCACGGCGAGTTTGGAAGGTGGGCGGGGCTTCCCCCAACCCCGCCCCTGCGCGCGTCTGGTTGCCCCGGCAACGCGCCACCTCGTCGCAGCCCGAGTGCGGCGGGCCGGTCCCTAGCCCTGGGCGCTCTCCGGCGAACTTGGCGGCTGCAAAGGCCGCTTGGGCAGCGCGATGCACGAAGATGACTCTGAGAGCAACCTCACCGTGTCCCAGGCCGGGGATGAGAACGAGCTGCCGGTTATCCAGCTGTGCGGGCTGGTGGAGGAGCTCAGGTACCCCCTGAGGGCGCCCCCTCCTCCTAGGGCGCCCCGCACCCCACGTGGGCTTGGAGCTGGGGTTCAACGCGCTGACGACTCGCGTCCGCCTTGAACACGGGGGAAACGGACCTCTCCGAGATAGGGCAGGAGCTTGTCTTTGTCTCTACCCGGCGCTAGGACGCCGGGGATGGAGCCACCACCGGGAGGTGACGGGCCTGGGGCGGTGACCCGGGGCACCCAACTGTGTGCTTACCCCGCCTCTAAGGCCCTTTGCAGTGCTAAGGTTCTAGGATGAACTAAAAAGGAGGTTATTGAGAGGAGGCCGCGGTGTGCCCGAGCCACTGTTACCAACTGGTCCAATGGTCTGGATGTTTAGCAGTTTGTACTATATAGCTACAATAAAACAAACCCACAAACCCACCGCCACCCAGTCAGTCCAGCTCACCCTCGACTAAACAAACAAAAAACCCCAAACGCACTGCCACCGAGTCAATCCTGATTCAAGGCAACCCTGTCGGAAAGGGCAACCGCCCCTGTCGTTTCTACGATCGCACCTTTTGGGGGAAGTAGAAAGCCTCCTCTTTCCCCGGAGGAGCCACTGCTGGTTTCGAGGGCACAGCCTCCTATTGGACAGAGTAAAATAGCTCTTTGGATTTCTGAGAAGGCACAAGAACAGAGCACCACATCTTTCTGAAGCCGAGTCGGGCCTGTCAGCCCAATGCTTAACCCACTGCACCACCACGACTCATTAAGTTCTATTTAAGCAAATCCGTAGATGTGAACATGCCATGACGTGGTTGAGGTAAAGTGTACAATGTATCGGTTTCCCTGAGAACAGCCTGGCTCCGGAGGTGGAAATGGAAATGCTGTTACTTCTATGTTGCTGGTAGGTGCCAGTCATTTCTGACTCACGGTGACTCTTACCTACAACAGAAGGAAACCGCAGGCCCTGCACCGGCCTCACAATTGTTCTGATGTTGGAGCCCTTTGTTGCAGCCACCGTGTCTATCCATTGTATCGAGGGGCTTCCTCTTTTCTTTTTTTTTTTTTTTGGTGCCTCTCCACTTACCAAGCATCTGGACATAGTTTAATCAGAGCAGAGGCATTATTACAAATAACAACTATTATAAGCCAAGTATTTGGTGTCTAGGAACTTGCCTAATCACACAGTAGCCCTCGGAAGTGGGTCAGGAAAGGAAGACTACGTCATTTCAGTATGGTCCCACAGCGAGTATTGGTGTTCATCCTCCGGGGTGACCTCACCACCCACACTGGGCACATGCTAGACTACAGAAAAAAGGGTGCTTTGGCTTATTGGTCTTTGCAGTCAGCTTTTGCCACTAACCTTGACATTCAGTCAAATAAGAATGAGCTCAATGGTCTAGGGAAACATGGAAGCTAGTCTCTCCTCTCTAACACTCTTGCACATGTGCTGCTGCTGGTGGTGTTCATTACCATCAGATCGATTCCAACTCAGATGGCAACCCCCCGGTGCAGACCAGAGCTAACTGTTCTGCAGGGTTTCAGTGATGTTGACCTCAGGAAGGCAGATCTCCAGGCCTGTCTTACGGGGAATCTCTGATTGGATTCGAACCACCAACCTTTTGGCTAATAGTTGAGTACAAACCATTTGTACCACCCAGGAACCTCTTCCTCATCTGTAGGTGTGTACTATATGCATACACACACTTACAACATACATGCTACATAGATGGAAGTTTAAAAGGCCAACATCTTATCATGTACAGGAGAAACTAGGTTTGTCATCTCTAGTTGTCTAAAAGCCATCTGTTCAAATCTTTCCCACCATTTATAATACACTTCCTGTAGGGTGCTTCATCTGCTGGGTGCTAGAAATAAGAGCCAAGACCCAAGAGAAACGTCTGAAGGTTGCGGGGGTGGGCGACTTCAAGAATGTAGTCATTCCGGAGGAAATTAACAAATGGGCTAGAGCAGGCTCGGCAAACTCGGCTTGAGAGCCATATGCAGCTCTCGGTACGTACATGTGGCCCCGAAGTATCAGTGAAAATAAAAATAAAATGATTATTCAGGTAGTGGCGGTTTCATTTGCTTGTAAAAACATATTTTTGACTCGAATACTTTTTAAATTGTGCGAGACAGGATTGGCTCTTCCATCTCAAACGTTTGCTAACCCCTGGGCTAGAAGATGCAAGAAGGTGAAACCATAAGCTCTTTTCAGCAACACTTTTCAATATAATCCCGGGCGCTGAGTTTTGTGGCTCATTAGACACGGAACAAGTAGGGTAGCACAAAGGGGTCCCTGGTGGCACAGTGGGGTATGCATTGGGCTGTTAACCACAGGGTCAGCAGTTCGAACCCACCAGTGCCTCCTTGGGAGAAAGATGGAGCTTTCTGCTCCCCTAAGGATTTACAGCTTCAGAAACCCACAGGGGCTGTTCTACTATCCTAAGGGGTCACTGTCGTCAGCATCAGCTCAGTGGCTGTGGGTTTGTGGTGACACAAATAGTTTGTACACAACTATTAACCTAGAGTTGGGTGGGTCAACTCCATTCAAAGACTTCTGCAAGCACTGCCTGGCAATCTATCTTAAAAAAAAAAAATCTTTTATCTCCTTAGGAGAAAACACAGCACTATTGAGTGACTAGGGCATTCCGTGGAGAATCTTAATCTTGGTCACAGCATTAGGAGCTCTTGGTCTCCATCCCACAAGCCCTCTTTGTAATGACCCGGGGAATCTCCTTCTGTAAAACTCACAGCCAGGCAAGCTCTATGGGGCAACTGGACTTTGTGAAAAATCTGGCCTTGTCCTAAGTCAGCACTGACTGCGTGCCAACAGGAATAATACTAACAACCTCATGTACTCACACGGCGCTTACTCTGCGGCACTCGGCGTTCTAAGGGCCCTGCATGTCCTACAACAATCCTAAAAGGCAAATGCTTTTTCCTTTTTGTCACTTCAAGGTTTCTTTCAATTAAAGAGGCGTGAATTCAGAATTCACATAAGGTAAAACCTCGCCGTGTTTGGCGAACAGAGCACTATTCACAGTTGGATTAAACTGTTTCTGGTACCTGTGCTAGGTACTACAGACAGTAATAAGACACACGGCACATTCTGAAGAGAACCAAACTCCAGTTTGTCCAAAAACAAAGACCACTTTGAGGTTCAGTCCCCCCAGGGAGAGGCGGTTTGGCTTTTTCACTCACTCTCTGCTATCGAGTTGCTGCCAACTCATCATCCCCCTACAGGACAGCACAGAGCAGCCCCTGTGGGTTTCCAAGACTGTCACTGTTTACAAAGCCCTGCCTTTCTCGCTCGGAGGTCTTGGTAGTTTTGAACTGCTGACCTTGTGAACCGAAGCCTAACACATTACCATTAGGGCACTGGGCTTTTTGCCACCAGTTAAAAATCAAAAGTGCATAACTTTCCTCTTCTAGTTTTGACTGTCACAGTATTGCTTACATGTTCAAACCAAAATGTTTTGTCAGGGAGTATAGGCAACTATATTCACCAGGAGATACATACAAATATACTATGAACATAAAAAAGCCACCCAAAACAAAACAAAAAAAGTCACACTCTGCCTCAAAAGCATCACATAATGGAAAATCGCATAACCTGGGACAACATTCCCAAACAGAAGTTCAAAGACCTTGGCAAATCCATACAGATAACATCAAATCATACCTAATTGTCTTTATTAATGCACTTCACCGCAGAAAGAGGGAGTAATCAACTGACCAATCAATAGACAAGCAGTAAAAAAAAAAAATACCCAAAAAAGTTGGGGTTACCATTGTAATGCTGGGGAAAGAGAGAGCGAGCTCTTCCGCCCATCACAGATTAGTCCTTTTGTTCCCATTTTATGGAGGAGGAAACTGAGGCAACAGGAGGGTAAGTGTCTGGCCAGTGCTGCCATGTTGTAAGCCATGAACTTGATAACAACAGATAGAAACCCTACAGGACAAAGTCCTACTGTTCCATCCTTATGGGATCAGGTCGCCGCATCTTTCCTCCCACAAATGACCACGAACTTGTGAGTGCTTACCCACTGCACCATCAGGGCTAGATCCTAGTTCATCGAGGTTTAAACTCTTGTATCCACAGGACTTTGTGGTTGTTACATAATCTGGTGTCAATTTGAGGATTCAGAGTGTAGGGGTGGAGCCTAGCCTGTCAATCAGGATGTAGCCAATGAGGTCTCTGTGTGGGTTTGGCCTTCTCCTGAGGATTCTGGGATCTCCTGTATTCCTCCTTGGAAGTGGGAGACACTCTTTCTCTCGGCTCACTCCCTTTGAGACATCCCTCTGGAGAAGACACATGGAGAGAGGCTGATGGAGCCAGACCTCTGGAGCCAGAGAAGCCACGTGGAGACCCTGTCAGCACTGTGATACTTACAATGCCACTGGATCCACAAGACTTCACACCCACTAGCCTGTGATCTTCCTGCATTCAACAACATTGCATGTGTTTCATGAGTCTGAAGAGGAATTCATAGATTGGTATCAGATATATGGGCTAATATTGGACTTATCGACTTGATCTGGACTGGGCTGGGATGTTTTCTTAATATTCAATTGTACTTGTATATAAAGCTCTTTCTTATACACATATCAGTGTCCATGAATTTGTTTCTCTAGTCTACTCAGACTAACAAACTTATTCGGTGCCCTCTGTCGTGCAGCTATGGAAACTCTGCTCTCAAAATTGAGACGGAGATGTTTGAGAAATATTACAATAAGCTGGAGCCCAAGGCTGATCCGTCTACACAATTTTCGGATAGCAAAGCATCATCCATGGAATTCACACAGGTACACAAGAGAGGCCCGAGAATGCCTTTGTTTCACTAGTCCCTGAAGCAGGTACAAATGGCAATTGTGTCTGTTCTTGGCATACTTGGTCAAAGAGGCTCTTTCCTCATTCTGCTCCATTCTTTTTCTTTTTTGTGTGTGGTAGTGGTTTGCCTGAAAATTGCTTAATATGTTCTCTCTTTCTTTTTCCCTTAATTGTTGTTAAAATAGAGATGCCTGGGCACATGCCAATTCAATGCTTTTCACCTGTTATTTAGTGACGCCAATACTCTAGCCTCCTTTTGACTCCTCCTTGCCCTTCAAAGTTTCTCTTGTCATTGAGTGAGAAGGGAACCGGGCTCAACGAGTGAGGTGACTATCCCGAATGACTATCTTAGTTGGTGTGTTAGTCTGGGTTGACTAGAGAAACAAATCCAGAGACACTCATATGCGTGTAATAGAGAATTTTATATCAAAGAGTAATTGTATATTAAGAAAACATCCCAGCCCAATCCAGATCAAGTCCATAAGTCCAATATTAGCCCATATCTCCAATACCAATCTATAAATTCTTCTTCAGACTCACACGACACATGCAATGATGCCAAATGCAGAAAGATTGCAGGCCAGTGGGTGGAAAGTCTTGTGGGTCCAGTGGCAGTCAAAGCATCTCAGGGCTGCCTGGAGTCTCCACATGGCTCCTCCAGCTCCAGGGCTCTGGCTCCATCAGCATAGCTCCATGTGGCTTGTGAACAGGAATGTGTAGCTGAGAGAGTGTGTGTCCCACCTCCAGGGAGGAAGATAGGAGCTCCCAGAATCCTCAGGAGGAGGCCAGCCCCACACGGAGGCCTCATTGGCTATGACCTGATTAACAGGCTAGACTCCACCCCTTCACAAGTTGACAGGAGATTATGTAATTGCCACAGTTGGTTTAGCAGAATTCCCTGGAATTGGTTGACTTGGACTTAAAAGTATTCAAGGCCCAGCCAGCCACATGAAGGGGTGAAGTAGGCTTCCTGTGGGCATTGGAGAACAATTCCCTTGTCTAAACGGTTCGACCCTGGGCAGCCTTGGCATTGCTAGAGTATCAGATTTTTCAAAAGAAGCTGTCAATCAGGATTTGGGGGTTGTGGTGGTAGAAGTTCCTGATTTTTAAAATGGAGTCACTTAATTAAAAATAAAACCAAAACTGCTTAGGTCTAGCATTTGAGGGCCAGCCAGACCTATTTTCAGGCCACATGTTCCCCAGGGCCACCACTTTAGACACACGGAAGACCCAAGCTTAGTGTCCATGCGCTTGTTTTGTCTGGACACCTTGCTCTGCGATGCAGTCTCTGACCGACTGGACGGCTCACCTCACCACCTCAGGCTGAAATACCCCCACCCTTTCACTAGGCGTCCCTTCGCCCAGATTTCTCCTTCTTGATCCTTTCTAGCTGGTCTCGGCGGGGTGGGGGTGGGGGTGGGGAGATCCTTTTGGTCAACGCGCACCTCCGACCAACTCCTACCTTTGCTTTCTTTGGGGTTGCAGTTCCGCAGCATTCGGAAATCTAAAGCTCGGCTAGGTTTCGACCGCGTCACATCCCTCACCATCGACCAAAAACTCGAGCTGGTCCAGAAGGAGCTGGAGGACACGAAGTTGGAGATCAGGCACATGAGGGCGAATGCTGAGCGGGACCTGCAGCATCACGAGGTATGCCCCCCTCTCCCCGCACCAGAGCGCCCACGTCTGCCTCCTTGAGAGCGGCTCCCCGGAGGCCCATGGTGGGATTGCTGGTGCCTTGGGTGAAACCACACGTAGGGTAGCACACACTGCAGGCCCTTTTCCAAGGGACTCACTACCTCCGTGAGGAGACGCACGTTCCAAATGTTTTTGAAGACTAATAACTGATGTTGTTGTCATGGACAAATAGACGCAGCAGAACATACGCCGACCTCACCGTTTCTGCCCTTGGCATCCTTTGACCACAGAGGCTCTTTCCTTCCTCATTCTACTCCTTCTTTAATTAAAAAAAAATTATTGATGGTTGTCTGAAAATTGCTTGATGCTCTCTCTCTTTAAATTGTTAAAGCAGAGATGCCACAGCACTTGCCAATTCAACGCTTTTCACGTGTGCTAACACTCGGTTCTCCTTTTGATCCTTCCTCGCCCTTCAAAGTTTCTCTTTCCACTGAGTGTGAAGGGAATGGGGCCCAACGAATGAGCTGACTGTCCCAGAGACAATACCATGTCTGTTCGGTATGAATCGGTTGTATAACCTCCGTCACTCCCCTTTACCCATTTGTTTCTCTCCATTCACAAGCTCACTGCCGCTTACGTTGTCTACCGCCTTTTGAGTGGCTGTTATCTGTTTGATCTTAGACAGCTCTTTGAGGAGCCCTGGCGGCATCATGGTTACCGTTTGGGTTGCTAACTGAATGCTCAGTGGTTGGAAGGCACCGGCAGCTCTGGAAGGCAGCTATGCTCGCCACCATACCACCGATGCGCCACCAGACGCTTTGATGGAGGGAGATGAGGCTTTCCGCTCCCATGAGGAGTAACAGCCATGGAAACCCACAGGGGCAATTCTGCTCTGTCCGCAGGGTTGCAATGAGCTGGAATCGGTGAGCTGGCAGTGAGTGGAGTCCAGCTGGTGTAGTAGGGTGAGCACTGAGCTGCTGACGGAAGTCTGGCAGTTCAAACCCACCAGCCCCTCTAAGGAAGAATGCTGCAACTGTCTGGTCCTGCTGTAGTTTACAGTCTGGGAAACCCAGTGGAGCCGTTCTGCTCTGTCCTTCTAGGACTGCTGTGAGTTGGAATCAACTGCCCGGCAGTGAGTGGATTTTGAGATCTGAGGTAGTTTATTGTGCCAACCTGGCCGATGAACCCATGTGGGGTTAATGAAGGGTGGAGGGATAAATGGCTCGGTGAGCCTCACCTTTCTAGTTCTCGGGCCTCTTGCTTTGTGATGGTGGGACCAGTTGTGGCTGCCTTAGCCAGTTCCCTGCTTCAGCT